AAAAAATGCCGTATTTCATCTCCAATCCAACGCCATTTTGCCGCTAAAATGGTCGTTTTCGTTCGCGCCTTTCTTCCCAAGCTGTTCGGTAGAGAGAAAAAAATGCCGCGGATGAACAGTGCCACGCCAATATTGGCGTCGCACTGTTCATCCGCGATCAAATGGCGTCAAAAATGAAGATCGGTTGGAGCAAAGCAAGAACGGCAAACAAGTGTTTGCCGTTCGGTTGGAGATGCCCTTAGCCTCAACTAGCTATCCACATCTGATAGGCGCCCAATACAGCCAATTTCTCGCCTCTTCCAAGTTCCAACCTTCCAGCGAAACTATGAACTCCTCCGCCGCTTCCTTTGACTCCGACGACGTGGTGTTTCAATTGCCCGGATCCATCCGCCTTTACCGCAGTGGCCGCGTGGAGCGCATTTACCGCGACGAGCTCGTCCCTCCGTCCCTCGACCCAACTACCGGCGTCCAATCCAAAGACGTCACCATCAACCCCACCACCAACCTCTCCGCTCGCCTCTACCTCCCGCCCTCGGCTACCTCCATCCCAAAAAAGCTCCCTGTTTTCCTCACCATCCACGGTGGCGGCTTCTGCCTCTTCCGTTCCTCCTCCTCCATCTACCACAGCTACGTCAATTCCCTCACCGCTAAAGCTGGCATCCTCTCCGTTTCAGTAGACTACCGCCTCGCGCCTGAGAACCCTCTCCCCGCCGCCTACGACGACTGTTGGGAAGCGCTGGAGTGGGTTTTCGCCGCCGAAGACCCTTGGCTGTCAAATTTTGGCGATTTAGAAAGGGTTTTCATAGGCGGAGAAAGCGCCGGCGGGAACATAGTGCACAACCTGGGAATAAGGCTTGGTGGAGAGGGGAAGAAGGTGGAAGGACTGGTGATGATTCATTCTTTCTTTTGGGGGAAGGATAGGATTGGAAATGAGGGGGTAGAAAGCGGGAAGAAGGAAAGCCTCAAGGCGGAGGATATCGATGCGCTGTGGCTTACTGTGTGTCCGGAGACGACGGGGCTTGACGACCCGCGGATCAATCCGGTGGTGGAGGGTGCGCCGAGCCTGGCGACGTTGGGTTGCCGGAGAGTGCTGGTGTGCGTTGCGGAGCTGGATATCTTGAGGGAGAGGGGGAGGGTTTACTTCGAGAAGTTGAAGGAGAGCGGGTGGGAAGGGGAGGCGGAGTTTCTGGAGTCGGAAGGGGAGGATCATTGCTTCTTCTTTATGAAGCCTGGGAGCTTGAAGGCGGAGGAGTTCATGGAGCGGATGGTCAGCTTCTTCAACAAATCTTGATTCTGCTATCTTTTCACCCATATAATAAAATATAAGCGTCTCAGCTGTTTGTGTTGGCTCGTGCTGAGTTGAAGTAGATGCTTCGATCTCTATGTTTCACAATGTTATCTTGGAATCTTTCAGATTATATGAATGCAATTGCGAGTTATAATGTTTTAATGGCGTCAGATTTTATGAATGAAATACATAATTTTGATTTTCGCTGTGTATTTACTTTGAGCAGTTTGAATCAAATTTTTTCAGCACATAAGACTGTAAGAGGCGTAACCTTAGAAACAGAGCAACCCCTTCTTTTTTTATAGTATTGGGAAAGTTTTCGAGCTGGGGCTAAATAAATTATCTTGTACGAGATGGCTTCTTAGTTCAGCCACGCGGGAGGAGAGTAAACAAACAAATTGATTGAACAGAACAACTAGTAATGCAAAGTATGCCTTTTCTTTAGAGCCAAGGAAATCTGATAGAATTCATATGTCATATGAGAAGTGGTATTGAAATTACTATTTTTTTAACATCAGATTTGTTAGTTATTCTTTCATAATCTATCAAATATTGCTTTGAGTAGAGATTAAGGGGGGGATATGACAATAAAAGCTGGCCTTTTCACATATGTTACTCAAATTTTCTGATATTGATTTTGTATGAGTAATTAAGTTATTGATTATGAAAATTATCTCAGCAGTCATAGTGAATGCTTTGATATTTTTGTTTCTAATTCCTCTATTGACTACTGATGATTCATTTATGTCTTGCATCATCTACTAACTCTTTTTTATTTATTAATGATTGTTGCATCCTGGAGTATTCGCAACGGTAGAGAAATATAAAGTTTAACATCTTAATTTTGTATGAAGATCTAGCACGCATACAAATAAAAATAGAGTGGTGTAGCATTCATGAGAGACACTAATGTTTTTACGTGGAAAACCATGAAAAAGGGAAAACCCACTAGGCCTGGCCCAGTTTGAATGATTCCAACTATTATTTGCAGTCGATTACAAATGAGGCCTTTCTTTGAGGGGAAGGCCTTGGGTTAACGTAACAAATATACATCATATTACATGGTGGGAATTAGAAGAATTAGTATTGAAATGTTTGTTTGGTCGGCATGACCATAGTCGACGGGCGATGGAGGTTAGAAAGACTGTAGTCGGGTGACAGTGGTCAAAGGACCGTTGTATGGTGAGGGAGGTCAAAATGACCGTAGACCGTAGTTGGCGGCGAAGGTCGTAATGACGGTAGTCGGCATGAGACAGGGGTCAGAAAGACTGTTGTCAAGGGTTAGAAAGACTGTTGTCTGGCGTTGGAGGTTGGAAGGACCGTAGTCGGTATGAGATAGGGGTCAGAAAAACCGTTGTCGTAAGGCGGTGGTCCAGCGGAAGTCTGGCGTCAGTCGCTGATTCAGAGGAAGTCCAGCGTTAGGTGGTGGTTCGTTAGAAGTTCGAGCGTCAGGTGGTGGTTCGACGAAAGTCCGGCATCAGGGGTTGTTCTGGCGGAACTCCGGGCGGAGGTCGAGGAGATGCTATCAAGAGCGATCTCTGATCTCTCTCTTGCTCTCTCGCTTGGGCCCATTTTCAAGAGGAAGGATGGGTCTATTTATAAATTTCCTATAGTGGCATGACCTATAAATAGGAGAAAAAATCAAGGGTAGATTAGGAGTGGTTTGGATGGACGGTTGATGTTGAATCCCTCGATTGTAGACCGTTCGCTAGACATTTAAAGGTTTTAATAATGTTGGAATTCTATGATTTGGGGCTTGTTGGATTCGTCTCATCGAGCCGCTCGATTCGACTATAAGCATGCCACGTTTGGAAACTGTTTTGAACCTTTCAATGGTGCTTCGGGTCCTTGATTTGGACTCATTTGGGCTTGGATTGAGTCGAATTTGGTGTTGTTGGGTTCGTAGTTTCAAGACGTTCATTTTGATTGTAAGTTTGCTGAAATTGGAGTTCATATGGTCTCTGATTAAATTTTTTGAAATTTCCAACTTGATTTTGCCTCGAGATTCGTGCCCGATCAAGATAAATTTTTGATGATGTATTAATAATATTCACTATATTCATAACATTTACAAGATTTTGTAGTCTCTTTCTTAAATGATGGACAAATGATATTTTCTTTGTTAAGTATGATAAAATAAGACTTTGATACCGATTTCAATGTCCTTAAGAAGCTATCAATAAAAGATTAATAAGTTATAAAAAATTTAGGCTTTGTTAGGGACAATTTTTTTAATATTTTTAAAATAGGTTTTTAGTACAAAAATTTTTTGAACTAGAAAATTTTATACTAATAAATTGCTTTAAAAAACACTAAGAAAGTTATCCTAAACAAAGCGAAATGCAACCTAAGAACTTAGTTGATGAACTTCCTCAACTAAATATGAGGATTAAATCATAAAATATGAACTTAAACGTGTGATTATACAGAAATGGCATTTTTTTTTATTAAACTTTTGGGCAGCGATTTCTTTCTCAACTAAAATTTTGAAAGTTAGAGTTGTTTGTATTGTTTGCCATCGCGAGAAGATGCATAGGCATCCTTTCTATGTGGTTGGGATCAAATCTAATTGAGAATTGTAGCTAATTCGCTCATGTGTGTTAGGTAAGCGTATCACACTTTCTAGTGCTAGTATGCAATATATATTTACTATAATTAATGCAAAAAAGTTGGTTGTAAATTGTGGGAAAAATAGCTTAGTTAAGATTATGTTATGGAAGACTAATATTTTATAAAATTTGTTGTAAGTTGTTGTTGGAAAAATAACTTAACTATTCTTGTTGTAAAAAACTATTTCCCACAAAATAAATTTTTAAAAAATAATGAGAAAATAACAATAAAGCAATAGGGAATTGAAATTATGATTGATGTTTGAAAAGCAAAGTAGCGCAAAAATTGTCCCAAAGAAACCTTAAGAATTTATTTCACGTTAAAAATTTTAAGTTTATGTTGTGCATGCGGGTGATCGTCATTTGGGGGGGGGGTTGGGGGGGGGGGGGGGGGAGGGGCATATATATCATTGTAGCTTATGTCATCAGAGAAATAAGGTCTTAAGTATGCAGTGTATTAGATTAATACAATGAAAATGCTTGTTTTTTCATGCATGAGAACAAAGTTTCTATGGAAGAGTTGCAAGGATGTTTACTAGCATTTAACATGAAGAGAAATAAGGTCTTAAGTACGCAGATGTATTAGATTAATACAATGAAAATGCTTGTTTTTTCATGCATGAGAACAAAGTTTCTATGGAAGAGTTGCAAGGATGTTTACTAGCATTTAACATGAAGAGAAATAAGGTCTTAAGTATGTGGTGTATTAGATTAATACAATGAAAATGCTTGTTTTTTCATGCATGAGAACAAAGTTTCTATGGAAGAGTTGCAAGGATGTTTACTAGCATTTAACATGAAGAGCTGGAGATCTCATTTCTTGTAAATTTTTTTGAAACAATTAGGCTTTGAAGTACTAGTTGGTAACTTTCCAATGTTTTGTTGTTTATTTGCAAAGGGGGAGTATTTGGTTTTTTGATCTTAATAGGTGCATATCAGTTCTACAGTTTAGAGAGTTGTTTGAGATGATTTGATCACATAAAATATCGATTTTTCGATGATTCGGTTAGGACTAGATGTATTAGATATGGTATATATAAAAAAAGACAGAGATAGATGCAAAAAGATTTGATTAGAAAGTATTAGAAAGTATTAGAAATGATATTTTTATTAGATTTAAATCATAATTTGACTATTTATAAATTTTAGTCATCGACCCAAATGGTCTGCTTCGTTTTTCCCTTTGGTCCTCTCTCACAACTCACAACTCACAACCTCGAGCAAAGTTTTCGTTTTTCCTTTCGCTCATCTCTCTCCTCCAAATAGAGACCGCCTGTGACAGATATTCATGTCTTCTAAGCTCAAAGGGCCTTGTTATTTGCATTCTTAATTTTAATCTTAGAGCTCTTCTTGACTCCAATAATGAGATGACAAATAGCCTTCCTCTAAATAAGATTTCTCACTCTACCACTGACCATCATTATTACTTATTAGAATAATCTTAAAAGGCGTTGAGAATATTTATCAACATGGAAAGTTATCTTTAAAAAAATCCTAATAGTTGTTATCTTAAAAATTCTAATTAATAAATTTCTTGTGCTATTCAAAAAATATAGATGACATTATTATACTAAAAATTGTTAGTTATATTTATAAATATTGAAATGTGTATATTTTACAAATTGCTCTAATAAATATGCATTGCCCAGCACAATCATTTCTTCTCAATTCAACCTTTTCAGCGCCACTATGAACTCCGCCGCCGCCTCCTCTTCAGTCGTCGAAACTAACGACATCATCTTTAAGTTCTCTGACGCCATCGGACTTCACTAAAGCGGCTATGTGCATCACCTCTTGCCTGATGAGCTCATCCCATCGTCCCTCAATCCGACAACCAACGTCCAATCCAAAGACATCACCATCAACCTCATCACCGGCCTCTCCACCTGCCACTACATCCTGCCTTCCTCCACCTCAATCCAGAAATAACTCCCATTCTTCGTCGCCATCCATGGTGGCGGCTTCTGCCATATCCACCCCTCATCAATCTAACATGATCGATTGCATCAACTCCCTCATCGCCAAGGCCAGCGTCCTCTCCAGCTCAATAGACTACTTGTCACATTGTGGGTCTGGAAGGCGGTACACCAGGGCAACACAGGACATGATAAAGAGATAGAAATATTGGGGATAAGGAGTAAACACCACAATGATGAAGCATGCAATAAAGTAAAAGTAGCAAAAAAAAAAGAAATGACATTAGGACTTAACGTGAAAAAAATTCAAAATAAGAAAGAAATTTACGGAGCCACACCACACCAAGAAATCCATTATTAAAATGGGGATAAATAAGTACATATTTTTCTTCTTTCTCACTCTCTTATTGCTTCTCTTCTTGCATGCACCATTAATCCCTATGTCAACAACTCTCAAAATATAAGAGAAAGCCAAGTAAATAATCCTAAGGGATGCAAAAAAAATGAGAAAGAAAACTATCTTGTCCTCAGAATACTTAAACCTCTTTCTTGATCCGATGTGGAAGCGTGTCTAGACTTAGGGGTGTTAATTTCGGGTCATGGGTCGGGTTTGGGTCGAACCCGGAACTGACCCGGGTTCAAACGGGTCTACCCTAATCCGACCCGGGTAGACAAACGGGTCGGAAA